TATATATATATCTCACGGTGCTAGGTGAAGTTGAACACATACTTCAAAAGTCTCTTGTACTTAGGACCTTTTTTTTCCCCTCTGGCTATCATATGATTGCAGTTCATGAATGAAAAAGGAGTACTGACTTCACCCTGAACATGACCAAATGCAGAAACTGGATGCAAATTATAACCTGTCATTAGCAAAAGTAGCATGGATCAGAAGAATCCACCAGAGTCATATTGGGGGCGGGCTGTGAAATGGGTTAAACAAGGTGTAAATGTTTTTTTTTTAAAAAAAAAAACTTTTTGTTTAAAGTATTTTGTTTCTTTGTAGGCGAGTGAAATAAATAAACAATCCAATTTTACATACACTGTATTAACAATTTGTGTGTTTTTTTTTAAGTAACTATTCTACAAAATGTAACAACAAAGTAGTCACAGTCCAAGAAGTCACTCCAGAATAAAGCCTATTAGGTGGTAGTATGGTTATATTTGTACTGCAGCCAGTGGACAAACATTGAAGCTGATATAGTTTAGCTTAAATGTTGGATTATATAGTGGACATCATTGTTTTCACGGTGAATTCATCTGCTTTGTAGTTGTTTGAGTCACTGATATTTCTCTAAAGATAAAAGTACCACAGTAGGTTTTATTGTGGTATTTTACAACTCTGCAAAATTACAAAGCCTAAAGTTAACTTGCACAATGAAAATCTGCTTTTCTGATGACTGGGCCTTATGGTTTTATTTCGATCCTCAGTAGTGTATCCTTTTCACTCTCGCTCTCTCTCATACTTTTTTTTTTTTTCCACTTTTAGTTGTGTCAAATCCTACTAATTTGAGAGTTAGAGAGTTGCTAAATCGTTTAGAACATCAAATGCTTGGGTGAAGAGATACTGCAGCACAGGTACGAAACATCACATTTTTGTCTGATGACTGTGAAGCTGACTGGCCACTTTGTGAAACCGCTGACACGACAGGCAACTTTTCAAAGGCCTTTTGTAAATTATCATAATAAATACATTCATTATTTTTATGTTGATTTGGTTATTACTGTACTTCTATGCATGGTGTCCCAGCAAAGTGAAAATTAAACCAAAAAATAACTGCTAAAGCAAGATGTTGCTTGTTACAGAAATTAACTGATGACAACATGTTGGAAGATTATGGAGCTGAGGCTAAACCCGGGGTTTTACATCCTGATCTGAACTCACCAAAAAGGAGATTAAGGGTGCCTTTCGCAGAGATACGGGCTATCACCAAGGCTCACAGATCCGGACCTAAACCTCTCTGTGTATCAGGAAGAATTTGAACCAGATAAGCAGGACGGATGCAGGGCCATGAGGGCTTTTGAAGTAAGAAACCAACTAAATATGGTAGACAGGAGAGTTTATAGTTCATGATTTCATGTGCTATTTATGCCTGCTGGATTAAAGCGCTCTAACGCATGGCAAAAGGAGAAGAATTCCCAGGCTTCCAGGAATTAGCAGCTGCTGGCAGCTAGTGGGAAGCAGTGTGGAATTACCAGACTTTGACATTTATGGGAAGTGCTGCCTATGAGCACCCTGCCCTGTGGCTCCCTTCAGCGCGTGCTGCGGACGGAGAGGGACCTCAGTCTAACCAGCGATGAAGATGAGCGGTGCATGGTTCAGGAAACAAAGAAATAAAAGGAAAATTCAGAAGAATGTTACGTGTACAAAAATATGATTTCAACTTTGAAAATAAATAAGTTCAGTTTATTAAGAGCTGGTGCCAATGCTGAACAAAATACACATCCTCCAGTAAAGAAACATGTTGGCGAACTATTCTTGTTTTCTTTTTTTTTTCTTTTTTCTTTGCTTTACTAAAATACAAGTTGGACCTTTTTTTTTATGTAAATATATCATTTGTCTCCCTTAATTACATGTCCTTGTAACTGTGACCATCATTCTCCTTTAAGCCGAAGACTGAACAGATTATTATTACTATTATTATTTTAATTCTTAGGAGTCTGGCCACATATGCAGCTTTTTTTTAAGGGAAAATACTTGACAATGAAAAAAAGAAAAGAAAAATATATTTTTTTCTAATAAATAAAAATAATTTAAAACGCTAGAGGCTATACATGACTAGTTCTGACTGTGTTCATTTATAAATGAGATAGTTTCCAAAATACGTGGAAGCAATATTAAAGGCAGACAAACAAAGATCTGTCTACTTTATTTCCCCGTAACGCTCGCCCTTCGCAACGTCTCCAGCAGTGGTTCAGCATGTAAGAGGAATAAATGTCACATCACCATTCATGGAGTTTGTCAGGCTTTAAAAAAATAGTTCTGGCCTCCAAGGAGTCAACATTCATCTTCCACTTCTCGGATTGGCGGTATCAAGCTGCTTGTCGATTTGTACTGGTTGATCTGGTTGGCCATGTGAGTGCTCATGGGCTTGATCTGAATGTTTCTGGGATAGGCATTATCCGGCTCATCTGTAAACCATTTCTTTTCTGCTACGGAGCAAAACAGGTAGAGACAGAATAAGGAGGGGAAAACAAGAATTTTAATTAGAGAAGCACACATACACACACACCAAAAAAGAGCAGGGGCAGCAGTCAGTAAAGTTCATGGAAAAAAAGGCAATCAATAGAAGCTGACTTTGACTAATTACTAGCAGTACAGTGCATTAGATTTGATTAATACCTTTGGAAATACTTATCATGAGAGCAGGATGACATGTCTGCAGATCTGATAGTAAGGAAGGTGTTAAAGCAAACTGGCAATTTGCTTGTTGAACGTGAGAGCTGTTTTACAAGCTCAGGTGAATGCCCTCTGCTTCATTTATCGAAAAAGAATGCAAATAAAGAGCTAAACCGAGACGCCAGGTGGAATGAGGGCGATGTGGAAAAGAGCACGCGGGGCCATACACAGGTGGGTGCCTAAAGGGTCACTGGCTTCTCTGAACCTTCCCACCCCGAGGTGGCCGGAGCCACTGGCCCCAACCAGGCACAGAGTGCTCAGCGGAGACCGTCCCTTTGGCATCAGCTCCCAGAGACACAGCAGGAGGTTCCTGGTACCCCCTGCTGCGGGTGGGAGCAGCGTGGTCAAGCAGGATGCCAAGAGGCTGCAAGGATGAGCTGGTCCTCGCTTGCCCAGGGCTGTGCCCACTGCACTGAGCTGTCCCTATGCAGATAGGGCAAAAACTTATTAAAAAAAATCCCTAAACTCAAAAGAATTATGTTTTTGATTCCCATAGAGAGCAACTACTTGTCTCATCTTATAGCTGCAGATAAGTAGCTTTATGAGGTGTCTCTGTTCATAGACTTCCAAACTCCTGTTCTTGGAGTGGTTTATGGTCTTTGTTGCTTGCGCCTCAACAAGCATCCATGCAGGTGGGATGTGCATCCTTCTGGGGGTGAGCACAAACGGGTCACGAAAGGGATTCTGCAGCTGTGCTGCCTTCACTATGAGTTTCAGCACTTTTACTGCAGATATGGTATTTACGTATCCCTCCACAACAAACTCCAAACTAATTAAGATTTAACACTATTGTTTCATGACAGTTTTGAGATCAGTGTTTATTCTCAAAAAAAAAAAAAAAAAGATCATCATCATCCGGGGGCTTTCACTCAAGGAAACCATAACAACTACATTGTTTTTGCTGTTTTTTTTCTTTAAAATTCCTTTCAAAATGTCCTCTCATTTCAAATTAGTGTAAATATTTCCCCCGCCCCACTCCGAAATTGTCTGAATCTCAACAATGTTCCGTCTGCAATCTTCCTCTCTCTCTCCTACCTATTATAATTAAGTTCCCTTTGATTTGAACAGATTGGACGATAGGAATTCATAATGTTACATCCTGCACACTGAAGCTAACTGATTAAGTGCTTTAAATTATTCTTCCTGACAGAATGATAAAGTTACAATCTGTTCGGAGATGATCTACAGCTTGCCAGACTCCTACTGCTTCTTTCTACATTCATTTATCTTTTTGTCAAGCAGTTAGGAAAAAAAGGCCTCTATTCCATAGATCTTTTAAAGTCATCAGAACATCTGAATTATTAATGAGACTTTAAGGGAATGGTTCCTGATGGGGGTTGGTTTAAGAAAGGTTGTAGGAAAAAAAAAATCTGGGAATGTGTACACATCAAAATAATTTCAGCTCCATTTAAAAAACCATTTAGTTCAAGTGTGACACATGAACCATTATGCATTTGTGAAAACCAATTTTATGTGATCTACGATTAAACTAACCTTTCAGAGAGGTGTAAAGTGTGATGGTTATCATGTTTTAAAAGCCTTGCAAGATCACATAAACAATTTCAAACTAACAGTTTTCTAATGGTTTGTGTTTAAAATGATTTCGAAGCAAGTTAAGCACGCTGTACTTTTATCTCTGTCTTCTTTTTAACATATGCAGCACAAGCATTCCTTACAAACAGAACTTCATGCACGTTAATTCGCTCTCAGAGCAAGAAAGGGGTCACGGCTGAAGTGAGCATGTTCCCAGCCACCAGGCAAACTGTTGCCACCTGCCCTGCTCTCCCTGTACTTGCCATACAAGACAGTTATTAATTCATCAGTCTTAACCGAAAAATTCATGTACATGGAGTCATCTTTAAAAAGACACCATCACATTGTCGTCTTTACTTGAAATACAGAAACCTACCTGCAAGTCTATTTCTCCCCTCTACTTAAACTAATTCCTCTTTGCCAGAGCTAAAACCTCGGTCCAGGCATCACAATTTTTACATCAGATGCTTGGATCTAGCTCTGTACCTTCCCTGTCCCTGTCCCGCTGTTCAAACCGTATTTGGCCAGAGAATGACAACCCTCATGTGAAAGCCCTCCCACACGACCCTCTCAACTTACCTTTCAAGCAGGAGGTTGGTGCTCCTTGTTTTTACCCCGTCCGCTAATACATCCTGCCCCAGGTACATAACTGCCCTCTTTAATCCCTTGCACGTCTGATTATTTTTTAATTCTCACAGTCCAACGTTCAGGTCTTCCAAAGTCAGCCCACATTTCGACTCGTCCCAAGCAGCCCGCTTTCCCTTACCCATGAAATCCTGTTCTAAGTCTTCACAGGCTGGTTTATGCCCCTGTGTTTTCTGTTGTTCTCTGTCATGTTCTGTCAGTCTCTCTCCCGTTTGGCATATGCATCTTTATCCAGAGAATCAAGCATATGTTTCTATGTTATAGAGAGAGTCTTAGAGCAGACCTGTTCCTCTATTTTATTTTTGCAAGAGCTGTTTAAGGCAGTCCCTGATCTTCCTACGCTATTTGATGGGTATGTTTTTGACAGCATCAGCTGGGAGCTGTTGGAAGAGCTAAGCAACTTCAAGTATCAGGAAGTGGGATACATTTACTTTCCTTTCAAACACTTATGTTTGTAATGGGCCATCACCACCCAAGTGGGAAATGATGATTATAAAGCATGCTTATATTAGAAATAAATAAATATTAATATCCTGTGTAAGAATGTTTCCTGCAGCATCAAAAGATATCAATAATTAAAAATAAAATGATCAAAATACAGATTTCTTTCACTTGAGAAAAGACTCTAGCAATTCTCTCAAACAGGTTTCTTTTCCTTTGCTTTAAAATTGCTGTCATTAATTCTGTCCTGGAAAATTTTATTTGAACAGATATCACTGTAAAACACCCTCTCTTCTGAGGAGAGGCAAAGAATGCAGCAGGTAAACATATCAAAATTTGCTAACTGTGTATTCTTATCATAACCCCTGTTCTGGCTACAGTCGTTTTAAAGAAGACATTTTTTTCTTGTGACACTTGCAATTTCAAATGAAGTTGGATGTATGTGTTTGTGTGTGTGTGCACTTACATACATGCACACCCTGAACAGGTAACTGGTTTAAAACTCAGTTTCAGTTCTCACATTTTCCTTGTATATAAGAAATAAGTAATGCAAGTTTCTCTATCAACCAACTCCCTAATTATTTGTTTGGTAGATTAATATTTTACATGCAGCTAGCAATAACTTGCGGAGAGGGAAAAAACTATTCTTTCTGCTCTCTATTCTGGGCTTGCCCTTTGATGATTTTTTTGAACTACTTAGGCCCATGGAAATTTTACTATCAATGGAAATGGAATGACTAACAGTTCAGCACCATAGGAACATTTGTTTGAGGTTTTGGGGGTTTGCCTGCATGTGCTCTAGGTACTAACTGTGTCAGATCCACCTGTAGCTTTCCTTGTGGGAACCACAGAGACCTGCTGGAAGTGGCAAGACCTCCACTTAAATCACTGATATATCATTAGTTGCCATTGGTAACAATACAGTTTTTGTACTTTATAAACTAACCATGGTGTTGACTAAGACTGACTCGGATTTGGCTTAGATTTCGGCACAAAAGGAAGACTGCCCAGTATATATACATCAACATAAAAAAACTTTGATGACATAAGTGATTTAAACATCCCTCTACTTGTCATGACCAACAGCCACAGCCTCATTACTATATCCTTACGAGAAAAATTTTCACCACTGCAATAAACCATTTGATCAATTTGAGTATAGTTAGTAGAGAAAATCTGCACACAGTATAACTAAATGGCAAAACCTTAAGTCTGCGGACTTAAGGACAAAAGACAGAACAGAAAATGGACATCGGTGTAGCCTGAAGAATTCAAATGTGCATCCCATATTAGATATTTTTCTTCTGTTGCTTTCAAAGTACACAAGTTATTTCTCTAATGTAGAGTGTTTATACTCTCTGAGCTGCACAATTATACAAACACTATATTTTTGGATATAATCACTATTATGTAATATATGACAAGTGGTTTCATATTAACACCCTTCCTTCCTCAGCTAAAAGGAAAACAGATAAAACATTAATGGAAAAGCATTTTGATGTCAAAGCCATTAACATTCTTCCAAAATGCATAACCGTTCTCAACTATCTTCAGTCAATATTGCCAATGTAAACACAAAAAAGATGCTCATGAGCATAAATGGAGAGGAAGAGGGAGGAAAGGAGTGGGGATGGGAATGAGGACTGGGAAATTAAAATAAGATCTGTATCAGGGCAGCACCTTCATTGAGCAGGAACCTGGGCAGTTACAAGAGGACACGTGCAATCAGAAAGGCAAGCTGATGAGAGAATAAAGAAATAAAATAGGGTTGAGCAACAGCAGCAGCAGCAGCAGCCAGTTTAACTTCTGGTTTGGGGGAAAAAAGGCAAAAAAAAAAAAGGAAAACAAACAAACAAACCAATAGCTGAATAAAGTTGTAACTATTTTGGTTTTTAATTTCACAAGTTTTCACAAGGACAAGTTATAGAAGGAAACCCACAGCATTTGCTAGATCATGCAGAACCATTAATTGTCATACCTTGGCCCATTCTATTCATCCTTGTTGCACTTTAGAAAGAGAAGTAAGCTATGTAAGTTTTACAATGCTTTTAAACTGTCATATTTTCCGTTGAGCACTTTAACTGGCACATCCTTAAAGTTATAAATATTCTTAGGGCAAAACGTCATAACAACTTCCTTTGCAAAAAGAACACATGAATTTGTCTCTGTGATCAAGAGCAACTGTAATATACTCGTTTGTGGGGAGCAAACATAATTTGCAACATTTTTCCACTGATAAGGCTTACAGCTGCATTTGAACACACACGTTCGTATATACTGTATTCCAATCATGATGCTTAGCACTGCACAGAGGCACTCTGTGTAGCCCACTTACTTAAATGGTACCAGGTTTTGTCAGTAAAAGTGCTTGGCTTCATTGTCAATTCACACAGCAAGCAAATCTTCAAAATTATCATGCTTGGGGAAGGGGAAGGTAGAAAACAGCACTAACCATAAAAGCACCTTGTCTGGGTTGGCAGTTACCATGCTAGTCACTCCCAAGGCTGAATATTTATTTTCTCTCTGCATGCTGGGGAGCCACTGGAAATAGCATGTGTTTTTCTGGTCTCCCTTTCAACTACCCACAAAAAAAACCCTCTTCACACTGCCCAGAACTGTTTCTACATCTCGCTGGTTGGCATTCAAATTTTAAAAAATAAACTCAAATTGTGATTGTCTAGCATAGTTTCCTTTCCACTGCTTTATTTAATCCCCTGCCACAATTTTTGTTTGGCTGGGCTGGTCGCTGGTAAGACTCCACAAGAACCAAATTTGAGCCAAATGGCACAAATCCTGGGCTCAGTGGATGTTTCCACCATCCTTCTTGCTCTGCCCATCTGAAATGGGAGAGGAACCTCTCAGATCCTCAAGGCACTCAATCCTCACCTCCCATATTCCTGCTCATGGTGAACTGGCAGCACCTGCTGTAAAGAACCAGCCAGGATTTCTAGAGTATCTCCTAAGAGCAGGACTCTTATTGAGAGATTTATACCATCACTCTCAACTTGGAAAAGTTAAACTACCATCTGGGGAAAGGAACGAAGTCCCTTGAGGACCAATACTTAAAGCATGGAAAAATGCTTGCTCTTTTCTGAACATTATTTATTCTGTACATAAGGTGACTAATTCACCTTTTGAAGACGTAAAAGTCCCAGGAAGGCAGTTTTTAATGACTTACATCCAATATTTATGATACATATGGCTTTTCATCCCAAATGTCAAAAGTGAAAGAAAATATAGCTATTCGTGTGGCAGTATAAATAGACAGAATAATAATTTAATATGCAATTAGACTCTTCCTAAACTTAAATTAAACCATTGGAGTTTTACAACTCCATGCCCAAACAATTTCAGTGTTAAAGGGAAAAGACACTATCTCCAAAAGGCTAATATTTTAAAGAAAGTCCTTATACAAGCAGAAAAGTCCCTGATGTTGCTTTGGTATAAAAGCAGGTGCTTAACAATAATCTATACAGAGTGAGAGCCTTACGCAGTATCAGCTTTTAGAGTGAAAATCAGTAGCTTTTTTTTTTTTTTTTTTGAATGGGTTAGTTTTTATAAGCTTCAAATAAATGTAGTAAATGTAAATACAAATATATATATATAAAAAAAATTACCCCAACATACATCAACACTTCTACACTAAATGAATTTTTGTGTAACTGACATCAACAAGTGTCCATGTTAAATATACTCTGTTTGCTGATATGTAGTGTAGTTACTGCAGTGAGTTATTTATGTTTTCAGTGTGCCTATGGGTTTGGATTTTTTTTCTCCCCTAGAATCATAAATAACTTTTGGTCCGTCTGCTTTGTTGCTGTTGTGCTTAAGGGTTTTATGGTGGTGAAATAAAAATGACCATCACATGCACACTGTCATACATATGCAAAATATGTGTACAAAAAGGGATAACTCCATGGGAGAACAGGGAACATTTACTGCTGGAAACGTTAACCGGGGAGAATGGGTGGTGGATGCAGGTTCACACACAGTGGGAGCAGGTACACATATCAAAGTCTATCTTCCTGCACATACTTCTGTTTTTCCCGTGAATCCCTGGTCTTGGTGCGGTTGGGTCGGTTTGCTGTTGATGGAATGGAGTGAACCGATGAGCTCTTCTTGCTGGAAGAATAGGAGGAATGGGAAGAATGAGAAAGACTGGCCCGGGACTGGCCAGCATTGTGGTCAAATTGCATCAAACAGAAGATCAAGTCTGTCGGCACAAGCTCGAATTCATATGGTGGGTTTGTGATAACATAACTGAAAAAAGAAAGAGAAGAAAAAGTTCAGAATTGTACTAAAACATTTCTGCCAGAAATGTCATCTCATGAATATTTATCCTTTTTTTTTTTTTCTCCCATTTCCACTGGTGTGTGCACCATTGCAGCTCACAACAGACGTCTTACGATTTGGGCCTCCCTATAGCTGCTCCCACATTTCTTTTTGCATATCTGCTGTCAAGTGGGACAGGCAAACTGACTGAGCAGGACGTTCCCCAGGGAAACCACATCATGGCTGTGCAGGGAATACACCATGCAGGTCACTGTCCTGCAATGACACTACTAAAGAGCTAAACACACTGCCCAAAACCTGCAGTAACCTATCAGCAATGACATTTAAAAGAATGAGTAAAAAGCAGGAAGATGATGATTTTAGATGCAGTTCATTCCATAGGGGAATATTTAAATACTGTCAATAGAGCAAGGAATATCATTATTTGTTTTTATTTTGACATAATAAAAGATAAGGGAAATATATTACCAAATTTGCAGTGGGATCAACTTTTTACTTTTTCATTCATTACAAATGTACATCCTGGCTTTAAAGAGCATTTATAAAGAGAAATCTGCACATATCCAAGAATCCAGCACCAAAATGAAAATTCTGTCAACTGCAAGAATCCTCCATGTATGCAAGTTCCCCTTCAGGAGTAGGAATGGCTCATAGAACCTGGCGCTAAATGTTTTCCTGCATGTGAGGAACATCATGCTTGAACAAGGCAATAGGAATTTTCCATCCAAGGCAGAAATAAATAAAAATTGATCATGAAGCTCACAACATCTTTTCAAAAGATGTTAGTACTCATAAGAGATCTGGTTTAGCTGCCCAGGGGACTAAGACACTTAGTAATCCAGCAAATAATCTCAAGTACAGCAAGTACGGTGTACATCTAAACTGAAAAAGTTTTTCTATAACCTTTGTCCAGAATCTTACAGAGAGTAAGCTTTTATTTAAAAAAAATATATATATGTTGAGCTGCACTGCTGTTTTTTCCATTTCAACCCAATAACAATGTTTTTGGTAGAGAATGAGACAGTAACAGATGGTAGAACTGCGATAATTCTGGGAAAGGTTTGCATGTGTATTTCTAGTAGGCACTTAATTAAAACACATTTCAAGTAAGCTGCTAACTGGCCTTCAG